TAAAAATTGTTTAGATAAAGTGTTTTTTCTGATATCTTGATTGGAAAGAAATTTTAATAAAAAATGAGTTAAAAACAAAGAAAAATTACAACTTCTTTGTGGCATAAGTTGCACAGTAGCTCTTATAATTTAATTTGATTAAAAAATCTGTGAATTCAAAATAATAGGTTTTAAAAATAAACAAAAATTATAGAGTTATGAAATGTTTTTTAAAAAATAATATATCTTATAGGTTACCATAAATATATTTGTTATATAAGAATATTCTTATAGGCCTATACTTGTATATGTCGTAGTCTTGAATATTTATATTTATTTTTAGAAGTATAAACTCTTATTTTTGCTTAATAGATAATTACAATTTTAATAAAATATACTTTTACATTTCAAAATTTCAAAGTATCAATAAATTATTAATAGGCTATCAATTTAATAAAATTTTATTTTTCTCTTTTCCAAATTTTTTCCATTAGAAATGCAACAATCGATACTGCCATACCAATTAAATATACTATAAAAGCACCTATAATATCTCGTAATGATAAAGCAAGCTCGAAAGAATTATATCCAGTTGCAGAGGAAAGTGTGCAGGTGTGAGCCGGTATTAAATGTTGTATGATCCACTTGGATAATAATCCCGTTCTTGTAATTAATTGAAAACTATAAAAAAAAGTAAAAAAAATTATCAAAAAATTATTTATAATGAGAAATTCAAAGCATTTTCCAAATTACAATAATATAATATACATATAAAATAAAATTATTATGCGAAGTATAATTTGGAAGATTTTATTCAAATTACAAAACTTACAAATGGTTAAATTCGTTGATATATTTATTAGTTTTAGAAAAAGCAAAACTATAAGAATTCTTGAAAAATTTAAATCCAGTAGTCACAAACATGCATTTGTTATGCTTCATTAATTCTCTTTGTGCTATGAAGTTTAGAGCGAATGAATTCTGAAGGAATACATAATCTAAAATATGATTAAGTTTTTAATATTCTCATTTTTTGATTAAAGTTTTATAAAGAAAATATTATAAACAGAAATTTAGTTTATTTATTTAATTAATATTATAAAATTTACCCTTTTCTAAAACAAGTTGCAGAATCTTATTGTCTTCCGTTAAAAATAAGCCTCTATTTTCATTTAAAGATTTCTTCAAAATTGAAAATATCGGTTCTTCTCCTTTCTTTATTAAAAAATATTTACAAATTACAGTTAAAGTAAAACTTGACACTATCTTAGGAGGAATATCACTAAATTAAAAATAAAATAATTCAGAGGTGATGGAAATGCAGAGAAAGATATATGCCCTCTGCGCTAAATGAGAGAGAATGCTATGAATCTAGTAGATATTAAATAATTAAAAACGGTTTTTTAAACTCTTTCCACTAAGAGGGCCTTTTAATCAAACCCATCTAGGGTTCGACCAGGTTCACAATGCGAATGGCCGGGTTGTGAGGCCTTTATTTGGGTTTGATTTTGTATGTATATCAAAAACAAAAATGACCGCCGTTTAGAAGTGGCCATTATGGAAGGTTCGACTGTATAAAGTTTTCCTAATCATGTTATAAACACGAACGAAAAAAGTTGGTTCTTGATAATGGAGTTTTTATTATACTATCATTCGTTTTTCTTTCACCACGTCTCGAAATATAAGTGATAGATTGACCGAATTTTGAGAATTTCTGCGTGGACCGTTTGCTTGGCGGCCGTTCCTTATTTTAATATACTTTATATTTCACTTAAGAAAAATAAATTATAAAAATAAATGCAAGCGCTGTCTATTGTATTAAATTAAAAAAAAATAAAACGGTATTAATCTAATTCAGACGTCATGATATGACCTGTACGAATTGACGTTTGGTCCACCACGATGTACATTTTGTAGCTTCTAATTTTAAAATAACTGATCATAATGGACCATAGGACGTCATAATTATGTTTATTCTTTTCACCCTGTGGGTTCTAATAAGTCTTTCTTCAAGCCTACCTTAGGTTCGGATAGGCCCACAAAAATCGGCCGAGTGGGGAGCAGGATCCAACATATCCGGAACAGACTATATGCAATACTATACTATACTATGTACAGTACAATACTATATAACAGATATAGCCAATAAAACTACTATATAATCAAAAAGAAGCGAGCGGGGAAAAGAGAAATTATGTATTGATGACCTCCAAACATTACAGATTTACGATCGATTTTGAATTGTCATGTTCTCGTGACAAAAATATGAATAAAATCAGTCAAATAAACGTTTATAGTTATCAATAATGACATAAAACTATAAAAATCAAAGTTTCCAAATAAAATAGATTTAAAATTTTTCTCTTAGTATTGAAGTCGATATTAAGTTGTGCAAAATATGATATATAAATACTTTAACAATTAAACTACATTTTACTTATAACTTTATAAAAATTGCAACTTACTAATGTATTAATATAAAGAGCAGATCCATTTCTGGCAATCCACTTTTTATCTGTATGATCCAAGATTCCATGTAAATCCTTCTCTACTGCATATGTTTCTAGACTCAAAAAAGCTGTAAGATTTGCTGTATAGAACGTGGTAATCACCAAAGTGAATAACCACCAAGCCGCAAACAGTATGCGAGTGGAATCATAACTTGGATTCAGTTCACTGCCTAGAAAAAATATCATTTTACATATTATTATAGATTTATAGAATTGAACTGAAGTTGTATAACGCATTAATTTAACATTAATTTATTTATTAATTTTTATGTATTATTTATTAAACAAGAGAAATCAACTTTGTCCCTAAATTAATTTCTTGAATAAGTGATCGAGTAAATTACGCATATTCAATAGCATTCGTTTTACGAGAAATACAACGAGCTGATTTCTTTTATTCCTCATTTCATTTACAAGAGGAATTAGTCAATGCAAAGAATGTCGATCAATATTTACAGTACAAAATATTTTAATTATGACTTCGACGAGATTTCAGCGCCCCCCGATTAAATGGCTTTTAAGTTCCAGTCTCCATTTTCTTTGTTTCATTCACGTTGTATCTTCGTTCTCAGGATAAGCAACCATTAATCATTTACCTGAGAAGAACACTAATAACTTCCCTAAACAATTATCACTTTTCTCTATCAGTAATTACAGTTTTATTAACTGAAAAATGATATTATTTTATGTTTTGTACTTGTTGGGCTGTACTTTGAAAAAATGTAGACTTATAAGTTTCCACTGTCGTCCGTCTGCCTTTCCTTAATCTCGAGAACGGAATAAGATAGCTGAAATTCGAGACCAGATATGGAAATCTTAGGGGCAGGACGCCTCGATTACTATACATTATACACAAACTTTCGATGCAAACCGAAAGGCACGCTATTTCAATTCAAAATTTTCTTCTGAAAGCAGTTAATAGATTATCGGCATGACTCTTGTTAAAGGAAAAGTATGATGTGCGGGGGTAAGTCACTACTAATATTATAATTTTAGGTGGAGATAATATATTTTAAATTAAATAAATGAAAATTATGATTGAAAATTGCAGCCAGGCATTATGACGATGTCAGAATAAATAATTGCTTGTTTTCTGCTTACTTATTATCTTAACTAGCTTTTCTTTTCTTATCATTAAATAAAGACATGTCTGATGGGAACTTACGTTATTTGTTTCTTTAGCGTTTATATGTTTTAACAGCATAAATCAACACTTTTATTTCATTTCGTTTAGAATCATTGGTTGATAGGTAAATACGTGTTTTGTAGTTATTTAATCTTATTTGGAGAACGTGAGTAGATGACTGAATTATACAGGAACTAGATACAAATTTATACCATAAGAAATATCAAATAAGTTCGTCCCGATTTAAGAAGTTTTGATTTACGCGTAAATCAGTCACACTACGTTGTATCAAGTATTTAATGTCTATAGAAAATAAATATTTTCTTATAATATTGTCGAGAGGTATTTTTATAATATGTATTTATTGTATGGAAATATTACTTAAATTCATGCAACTTATGTAAACTGAATTGTTAATATCGTAAAAATAAATAAATAAAATGAATTTAAAATAGTTATAGAATGAAATTACAAACCCCACATTACCTTGTCTAATTAATGCAGAATAAACAAACCAAAAGCATTCAATTAATTTATAATCATTCCTTTTGTCCGGTTCTTCCTCCACGATAATCAATTTATAATGAATATGTTGCAATAAATAAACGAGTGGACCCATTAGAATAGAAAAAACGATGAGGATAATCCAAACCTGATCAATAAAACAAATTTTAATAAACTTTAACGAGATAGACATTAATAAATTAAAAATTTACTCACGTAGAGGTTAAACGGAGAAAGCAAAGCACCAGCATTACCACTTGCACTTGGTTGTTTCATAAGAATATTAATACTGTCTTTGAAAAGAGTAGTGGAGAAAACTGCAACTTCCTTTCTCTCTTGAATCACCGTAAGAGGAATTGCAGCAATATCTGCTTCCTAATGTCAGTTATTTTGTATTCGAGAACAATTCTGAATTTTTAATTATAAAAATAAACTTACATTATTTGCAAGCATTCCAATAATTCCTATCCAAGTTCCATTGGGTAATTTTGAACCGTAAACTTTATGGATCGGTATAATAATTTCATAACTAGAGCAAAATAATAAATATATTATTATTATTTCTATGTAAGAGATGTGAGTAATTTTTATATAGTTTAAATAGGCATATAAAATATATATCATTAAAAACAAATTAATAATAAAAGTCAAAATTATTGAAATATTATAAATTGTTTAACTTTTGTAATGTAGGTTTATTTAATTTTTTCTGAGAAATAACATCAGATTATTTAAGCATACTGTATTATAAAAATAGAGAATNAAAGCAACTTAAAACACATTCAAACTATAAATCAATATTTTATTTACAAAAGATAATTGTTTTACAATTTATCAATTAACTACTGTAATTTTTCTAATAATAATTTTTTTATTTGTATATTTTCTTCATGGCGTTTTTCAACACTAATTCTGTAATTTTTAAACCATTCCGGTTCTTCTTCTTTCCTGCACTTTTTCTTTGCAGATGCTTTAGGTGATGGCGTTTCCTGAGTTGTATTATTTTCATTTTCTGTTACCATAACAGAATTATTAAATCCAGAGGAAGAACTAGCTAAAGAAATAGGCTGTATCGCTGGATCCTTTTCGAATATTTCATCTAATTCAGCCATATAACGGCACTTCCTCCTGCTCGACCCACTTTTATTATTATTATCTTTTATTATTTTATAGTTATTTTTTAAAGATTTAAATTTATTTTCACACTGTAATGGTGTTACAGAATAGCCATTGAATCAGGAAGAACTAGCAAACGAAACAGGCTGTACCGCTGGATCCTTTTCAAATATTTCATCCAATTCAGCCATGTAACGGCACTTCCTCCTGCTCGACCCACTTTTATTATTATTATCTTTTATTATTTTATAGTTATTTTTTAAAGATTTAAATTTATTTTCACACTGTAATGGTGTTACAGAATAGCCATAGCTTTTAAAGCTATTGGCTATTTTTTCCCACACTTGTTTTTTTTTTAAATGAGGAGATGAAAACATGCTCTCATTCATTTTATATTGATTGAGAAGCAAGCGTGTTGTTTCATCACTCCAACTGAATGACACAGACTGACTTCCTCCAGGAGTTTCATCTGTTGTCTGTCTTATGTTTGGATCAACTGAAAACATAAATAAGTTAATTATATTTACTGCTTATGTTTAAAAAGTATATAGATGTGTTTAATCACATTTTAGATGAGACAGATCTAAATTTGATCAAGCTAAACATTAAGATTACTATAGTTTTTAAATTAAAAATGTCTATTTTAAAAGCAAAATGCTTAATTTGTACAACAAAAGAACACTTAGCTTGTTCAAATTAATCTTCATATAAGTAATAAAATATTCTAATTAAAACTGATATTAATATGAATTGATTTATTATTAAAGCTAAGACANGGCTTATGTTTTTCTTATGCCTGTAAGACAATTTGTTTTTTTTCCCTCTCGCATCTATACACACAGGAGCGGATCTAGGTTTTTCGGACTTAGGGCTTATTGAAGTCCAATGGTCCCATTTACAATAAAACTAATAATACTATAAATTATCATTATTATTATGTTATTAATATTAACTATTTTTTACTATACGATAAGTGCTCATCGCTAATGAAAAAGTATTAAAAATTTATAATAATATTGTAATTCAAGTTTTGTGGGCCCTTGACACTTGGGGACCCAGGGCTTAAGCCCTATTAGTCCCTATGTAGATCCGCCCCTGTGTACACATCAAAATATTTTTTATTTTAAAACTCCCAAAATTTGTAATTACAACTAGAATATTCTAGCTTTGAAAATGTTGTTGATATATATTAAAATTGCAAGAATTTGTTAACCTTGATGAGCTGTATGAGAGTGGAGGAATGTTTTATTAGAGCGTTTTAATTATGAAGGCAGTGATATCGATAAGTGCCTGTATTTTTTCTAAAGTTTCTAACAAAAAAGTTCCAAACATAAATAAAGTCATAGAGTTTTTACTAAGCATTTCAGGCTCTAATACCTTTGTAGAAAGGGGATTTTTTTCAGTAATGAAGATCAAATAAACAGATGTTAGAAACAGGAGCCATCCGGAGCTGATCAAAGTGTAACTATAGAGCAGTGTTTCTCAACCTCTAACGAAGCGTCGCCCCCTTCAACGTAGTATCGCCCCCATCAATAAAACCGTTATGTAGTATCGCCCCCTTCACTACAAAATTACTATGCCGAGGGCCAAGGCTAACGCCAAATTCGTGCTGCATCGAATAGAATAGTGACTAGTATAATGTTTTTTGTTTAATTATTGTACGATATAACGAATAAAATATCTAATTATTCTTAATATAATGTTTTACTATATCGCCCAGAAAATTGTTTTTCGCCCCCCAAAATATAAATAGTTACTAATCGCCCCCTCAACATGGAAAAACGTCCACATGGGGGAGATATCGACCCCGTTGAGAAACACTGCTATAGAGTGTATACAATTTCTCTTTCACTTATAAACAATTTTACCAATTTGCAAAATAGAATGAAAAATTATTAAGAGCAGCTAAATCACAAGAGAAATATTATGAATAAATGGCATGTAACTTAATGTACAGTAAACAATGTTCTATACAATGTAATAAAACGTTTGATCTGTGATAGAACATTATTTTTTTTTTAATGAAAAAACCTGGCAACCATAAGAGAATGTATTATACTCAACGTTACTCAGTGATAAGGATTTTTGAAAAATTTTCCATCAAGAGATTTCATTAAAAATAAAAATTGTTTAGATAAAGTGTTTTTTCTGATATCTTGATTGGAAAGAAATTTTAATAAAAAATGAGTTAAAAACAAAGAAAAATTACAACTTCTTTGTGGCATATGTTGCACAGTAGCTCTTATAATTTAATTTGATTAAAAAATCTGTGAATTCAAAATAATAGGTTTTAAAAATAAACAAAAATTATAGAGTTATGAAATGTTTTTTAAAAAATAATATATCTTATAGGTTACCATAAATATATTTGTTATATAAGAATATTCTTATAGGCCTATACTTGTATATGTCGTAGTCTTGAATATTTATATTTATTTTTAGAAGTATAAACTCTTATTTTTGCTTAATAGATAATTACAATTTTAATAAAATATACTTTTACATTTCAAAATTTCAAAGTATCAATAAATTATTAATAGGCTATCAATTTAATAAAATTTTATTTTTCTCTTTTCCAAATTTTTTCCATTAGAAATGCAACAATCGATACTGCCATACCAATTAAATATACTATAAAAGCACCTATAATATCTCGTAATGATAAAGCAAGCTCGAAAGAATTATATCCAGTTGCAGAGGAAAGTGTGCAGGTGTGAGCCGGTATTAAATGTTGTATGATCCACTTGGATAATAATCCCGTTCTTGTAATTAATTGAAAACTATAAAAAAAAGTAAAAAAAATTATCAAAAAATTATTTATAATGAGAAATTCAAAGCATTTTCCAAATTACAATAATATAATATACATATAAAATAAAATTATTATGCGAAGTATAATTTGGAAGATTTTATTCAAATTACAAAACTTACAAATGGTTAAATTCGTTGATATATTTATTAGTTTTAGAAAAAGCAAAACTATAAGAATTCTTGAAAAATTTAAATCCAGTAGTCACAAACATGCATTTGTTATGCTTCATTAATTCTCTTTGTGCTATGAAGTTTAGAGCGAATGAATTCTGAAGGAATACATAATCTAAAATATGATTAAGTTTTTAATATTCTCATTTTTTGATTAAAGTTTTATAAAGAAAATATTATAAACAGAAATTTAGTTTATTTATTTAATTAATATTATAAAATTTACCCTTTTCTAAAACAAGTTGCAGAATCTTATTGTCTTCCGTTAAAAATAAGCCTCTATTTTCATTTAAAGATTTCTTCAAAATTGAAAATATCGGTTCTTCTCCTTTCTTTATTAAAAAATATTTACAAATTACAGTTAAAGTAAAACTTGACACTATCTTAGGAGGAATATCACTAAATTAAAAATAAAATAATTCAGAGGTGATGGAAATGCAGAGAAAGATATATGCCCTCTGCGCTAAATGAGAGAGAATGCTATGAATCTAGTAGATATTAAATAATTAAAAACGGTTTTTTAAACTCTTTCCACTAAGAGGGCCTTTTAATCAAACCCATCTAGGGTTCGACCAGGTTCACAATGCGAATGGCCGGGTTGTGAGGCCTTTATTTGGGTTTGATTTTGTATGTATATCAAAAACAAAAATGACCGCCGTTTAGAAGTGGCCATTATGGAAGGTTCGACTGTATAAAGTTTTCCTAATCATGTTATAAACACGAACGAAAAAAGTTGGTTCTTGATAATGGAGTTTTTATTATACTATCATTCGTTTTTCTTTCACCACGTCTCGAAATATAAGTGATAGATTGACCGAATTTTGAGAATTTCTGCGTGGACCGTTTGCTTGGCGGCCGTTCCTTATTTTAATATACTTTATATTTCACTTAAGAAAAATAAATTATAAAAATAAATGCAAGCGCTGTCTATTGTATTAAATTAAAAAAAAATAAAACGGTATTAATCTAATTCAGACGTCATGATATGACCTGTACGAATTGACGTTTGGTCCACCACGATGTACATTTTGTAGCTTCTAATTTTAAAATAACTGATCATAATGGACCATAGGACGTCATAATTATGTTTATTCTTTTCACCCTGTGGGTTCTAATAAGTCTTTCTTCAAGCCTACCTTAGGTTCGGATAGGCCCACAAAAATCGGCCGAGTGGGGAGCAGGATCCAACATATCCGGAACAGACTATATGCAATACTATACTATACTATGTACAGTACAATACTATATAACAGATATAGCCAATAAAACTACTATATAATCAAAAAGAGGCGAGCGGGGAAAAGAGAAATTATGTATTGATGACCTCCAAACATTACAGATTTACGATCGATTTTGAATTGTCATGTTCTCGTGACAAAAATATGAATAAAATCAGTCAAATAAACGTTTATAGTTATCAATAATGACATAAAACTATAAAAATCAAAGTTTCCAAATAAAATAGATTTAAAATTTTTCTCTTAGTATTGAAGTCGATATTAAGTTGTGCAAAATATGATATATAAATACTTTAACAATTAAACTACATTTTACTTATAACTTTATAAAAATTGCAACTTACTAATGTATTAATATAAAGAGCAGATCCATTTCTGGCAATCCACTTTTTATCTGTATGATCCAAGATTCCATGTAAATCCTTCTCTACTGCATATGTTTCTAGACTCAAAAAAGCTGTAAGATTTGCTGTATAGAACGTGGTAATCACCAAAGTGAATAACCACCAAGCCGCAAACAGTATGCGAGTGGAATCATAACTTGGATTCAGTTCACTGCCTAGAAAAAATATCATTTTACATATTATTATAGATTTATAGAATTGAACTGAAGTTGTATAACGCATTAATTTAACATTAATTTATTTATTAATTTTTATGTATTATTTATTAAACAAGAGAAATCAACTTTGTCCCTAAATTAATTTCTTGAATAAGTGATCGAGTAAATTACGCATATTCAATAGCATTCGTTTTACGAGAAATACAACGAGCTGATTTCTTTTATTCCTCATTTCATTTACAAGAGGAATTAGTCAATGCAAAGAATGTCGATCAATATTTACAGTACAAAATATTTTAATTATGACTTCGACGAGATTTCAGCGCCCCCCGATTAAATGGCTTTTAAGTTCCAGTCTCCATTTTCTTTGTTTCATTCACGTTGTATCTTCGTTCTCAGGATAAGCAACCATTAATCATTTACCTGAGAAGAACACTAATAACTTCCCTAAACAATTATCACTTTTCTCTATCAGTAATTACAGTTTTATTAACTGAAAAATGATATTATTTTATGTTTTGTACTTGTTGGGCTGTACTTTGAAAAAATGTAGACTTATAAGTTTCCACTGTCGTCCGTCTGCCTTTCCTTAATCTCGAGAACGGAATAAGATAGCTGAAATTCGAGACCAGATATGGAAATCTTAGGGGCAGGACGCCTCGATTACTATACATTATACACAAACTTTCGATGCAAACCGAAAGGCACGCTATTTCAATTCAAAATTTTCTTCTGAAAGCAGTTAATAGATTATCGGCATGACTCTTGTTAAAGGAAAAGTATGATGTGCGGGGGTAAGTCACTACTAATATTATAATTTTAGGTGGAGATAATATATTTTAAATTAAATAAATGAAAATTATGATTGAAAATTGCAGCCAGGCATTATGACGATGTCAGAATAAATAATTGCTTGTTTTCTGCTTACTTATTATCTTAACTAGCTTTTCTTTTCTTATCATTAAATAAAGACATGTCTGATGGGAACTTACGTTATTTGTTTCTTTAGCGTTTATATGTTTTAACAGCATAAATCAACACTTTTATTTCATTTCGTTTAGAATCATTGGTTGATAGGTAAATACGTGTTTTGTAGTTATTTAATCTTATTTGGAGAACGTGAGTAGATGACTGAATTATACAGGAACTAGATACAAATTTATACCATAAGAAATATCAAATAAGTTCGTCCCGATTTAAGAAGTTTTGATTTACGCGTAAATCAGTCACACTACGTTGTATCAAGTATTTAATGTCTATAGAAAATAAATATTTTCTTATAATATTGTCGAGAGGTATTTTTATAATATGTATTTATTGTATGGAAATATTACTTAAATTCATGCAACTTATGTAAACTGAATTGTTAATATCGTAAAAATAAATAAATAAAATGAATTTAAAATAGTTATAGAATGAAATTACAAACCCCACATTACCTTGTCTAATTAATGCAGAATAAACAAACCAAAAGCATTCAATTAATTTATAATCATTCCTTTTGTCCGGTTCTTCCTCCACGATAATCAATTTATAATGAATATGTTGCAATAAATAAACGAGTGGACCCATTAGAATAGAAAAAACGATGAGGATAATCCAAACCTGATCAATAAAACAAATTTTAATAAACTTTAACGAGATAGACATTAATAAATTAAAAATTTACTCACGTAGAGGTTAAACGGAGAAAGCAAAGCACCAGCATTACCACTTGCACTTGGTTGTTTCATAAGAATATTAATACTGTCTTTGAAAAGAGTAGTGGAGAAAACTGCAACTTCCTTTCTCTCTTGAATCACCGTAAGAGGAATTGCAGCAATATCTGCTTCCTAATGTCAGTTATTTTGTATTCGAGAACAATTCTGAATTTTTAATTATAAAAATAAACTTACATTATTTGCAAGCATTCCAATAATTCCTATCCAAGTTCCATTGGGTAATTTTGAACCGTAAACTTTATGGATCGGTATAATAATTTCATAACTAGAGCAAAATAATAAATATATTATTATTATTTCTATGTAAGAGATGTGAGTAATTTTTATATAGTTTAAATAGGCATATAAAATATATATCATTAAAAACAAATTAATAATAAAAGTCAAAATTATTGAAATATTATAAATTGTTTAACTTTTGTAATGTAGGTTTATTTAATTTTTTCTGAGAAATAACATCAGATTATTTAAGCATACTGTATTATAAAAATAGAGAATACGCACGTAAAGTTAAAATATTCTGCCATTTTATTGATGATTTCGAAGCTGAATCCTTCCCCTGTGCACTTTTTCATGCAGCAATTAACTTTCTGATATGGTTCTCTCTACAGATTAAAAAATAAACAATTACATTTCCAAGAAACTTGCCTTGATTTTTCAGAAATGACAGCTAACGATTAAATAAATTTTCAGAATTCGTTTCATAATAAAAATTATTCCCCAGAGTGAAATATACTTACCGTCATACTAGCGACTTTTAGAAGAGAACCATTAAGATTAATGCTTGGTTGATTGTCAAACATGTGGCCCTGTAAATCGAATTGTCAGACTTAAGATTTATATATAACGTAATATTATAAATATAATTATTAGAATTAACTTTTTGAATTAAAAAATAAATTAACCTGTTTTTCTAACAAGTAAGTTGTAAATAGCACAATTGTTAGTCTAAACGTTAAAATAAATTTAATGTATTAAGCATTATTTTCATGATTCTTCTATTTCCGGATAAATTTTCTTAAAAGGTGTTTAATATATTTTTAAAAAATAAAAAAAAAATAGAAAGAACTTTTATTAGTCACGTTTTTCGATATTGGGTGGGTGACGAGGGTGACCCGATCTTCACAATACACATCATAATTAAATTCTACATTTAGTTATGTTTATCCTGTTTCGAAGTTGATAGTTATGATGGGTCACCCCTTAAAACACCATTAAAATGCATTCTCACACTTTCAGAAGGTAGAAGTGAATGAAATTTGATTTGTAAGAATTGAGAACATAATATAAAGAAAGTTAAATAAAAGCGTTTAATAAAAACGAAATTATTTTTCAATTTTAAGTAAAATAATTTAGAATCTTTTATCAATTCTTCAATGTTTATATCAATACAAACAGAAAAAATTAGTTTTTATTATATTTTTCATTACAGACTTGAAATAAGAAAAGAGTAAACTCTAACTCTATATCCAAATTTATAAATTATTTATAATCAAATATTTATCTAATGTTATGATTTAAATATATTTGTATATGATTTATTATTTATTTGAAAGTAGAAAAATTAATATATATCTCAGACTCATTTTTTCTCTAAATTATCAATTCTGTAATTAGAAAAAGAAAAAAGTATTACAGATGCAGTGTAATGGGCAGTACATTTTGAATTAAATATTTTGTGTAAAGCTTTATATTTGCTTTTATAAATAAATTATATAATTATAT